GTATGATTTTATACCTATGTGATACATAAAGAAAAAAAAACATATGAGCTAAATATAGTAAATAACTTCTAGACTCTAAGACCATGTTAGTGGTTAACAGAGGGAAAGGAAAGGGGTGGGTGGGTAAATCAGGTAAACATGGTCAACTGAATCATGAAGGATGAAATTAGACTTCTTGTGGTAAACTTATAGATGCTCATTTATAACAATGCCTACCTTAAAATGTTATGTTATAAACCAATGTTGCTTCAATTAAAAATAAATTTTAAAGAGGAAGGAAAAACCTCAACATTTATATTTTTAAATCCAATTAGTTTTTTACACTAATGTTCTAGGGGAACTTCCAGCCTGGGATTAACCAACACAGTGTAGGAAAGGCCTTGTCGATCAGTATTTGACCAGTAAATTAGACAACTGTGTTATGAATTGCTGGGCCTACCGTGATGCCCCCGATCTCCCCTGTGCTGAAACTCTGGCAACAGTGGTGTTTGCTCCCACAGCAAGGCTTCCATAATTGTATTAATCTTTGAACTTGGGTGGTCTCCTATTGGACGAGCACAAGTGAGAAACTATCAACAGTAAGAGCTGGGATGGGGAGGGGTGAGAAGAAAAAGAAAGAATGAGACTCTTCTGATAGGACAGATTCCTCTCCCACCAAGATAACAGACAGCTATGCAAGATTCTACTCTCCACATCTTAGAAGTTGTAATCAGAACCTTCATCTGTGGGATGATTATTACAGCCATTAACTAGAAAACAGTCATATAAAAGAAATAGTCAGATTTCTATCAATACAATCACTATTTCTTAAGTATTGGGCTGGCTGATTTATAAATGCACACTTAAAATTAAGACACTTTAAAAAAAAAACCATTTGTTTGTGCATTCAGAACTGGGGCACAGGTCAGAGGTGCAGGGGAGGTGAGAGGATTCACCACAGACAGAGTGGGGAGCAGAACAGGCAGACTGTCTAAGTATACTGCTGAGGGGAGCAGCGGATGGGTTCGGAGAGGTCTGCTGTGCCACGTGGGTCACCTCAGGGGCAGGCAAGGATCAAAATCATGCAGAAGTGGCTTTAGCTTCTTAGTGCTGTGCTTTAACCAGTTGCACCACCAGGGAGGGCCCTAAAATTAAGACACTTTTAATTAAAAATAATTACATGAAATATTGGGCTGCGGATCTCTTCTAGAACAAAGTGGGGAATGGGAGAGAGAGAGTTCCAGAAACTCCTATATCCATCTAAAGAGTGTGCTAAGGAGGGAACAAAGGGGATGGACAGAAGCTGCAGGTCCTTTGCCAATTTAATTTAATAATTCCTTCATGCTCAGTCTTCTTTCTAAGTGAATGAGGGGGAGAAAGGTAGGAAGGGGGTGCCAGGGGAAGGCTCTAAAGCAAAGAAGGCAGTGGGGGAGGAGGAAGTGCCCAGTGCTCAATGAACCCACACGTGTGAAAGGCTAATCCAGGTATCACTCAGTAATCACCACCACGAAGTCAGACCAGGGTGACACCGTGCGCTCTGCCTAACCTCACCTTCCCACCTCCCACGGAGCCTCACTAAACCAAAGTGACCTTCTGAAATCGGCCATTCCGCCTCAGCCCCTGGCACCCTGCCCCTCCTATGACGAGCTTCTACACACCATTAGCTTCCTTCCAAAGTCCCCTGTACTTCTCATTCTCGTCCAGAATACACTTTTCCTGTTTTCGAGAGAAAGTACTGGCCCGTGTGCCTTGTCAACAAAAACTGGAACGCGGAGGAATGTTGAGTTTCCTGGGCATTTATGTATTGAATGGGAGAGTCGGAAAGGGGGGTGAGGATTCAGGGGGCTCTGATGTGGCCGGGAAGACAGAGCAGTGCTTGGAACTCTGCTGCAATCAAAAATCCAGAAAAGTGCTTGGAAGTCTGTTGTGCTCAAAAGAAGGGACTGCTGAAAGTGTGAAACGTTTCGAGACGGTTTGGCTGTCAACCAAATGACATGAGAGTGCTTCCTGCCAAGTCAGGCTCTTCTGCGAATCAGTGATTTTTTTTTTTAAGATTTATTTAATTATTCTTATAGAACTGGGGTACAGGCCCGAAGAGCAATGGCTGTGAGGGGACTCACCAGAGAAGAGTGGGGAGCAGAACAGGCAGATTGACCAAGTACACTGATGAGGGGAACAGCGGGTGGGTCAGGAGAGGTCTGCTGCACCAGGGAGATGTGGGTCATCTCCCTGGCCAGGGATAAGCTCGTGCTAAAGCAGCTGTGGCTAGCGTCATAGTGCTGCACTGAACCCATTGTGCCCTATGAATCAGTGAATTCTTAATAATAATAATAATTAAGGAACTCTTCCAGAGATTTCATTTCTTAGGAGGACCACTTGTGGCAGGGGTGGAGGACTTGGACTTGACTTCCACTAGTTCTCCATAGAAGGACCTCTGTCCCTCCCAGAGTATCCATTTTCCCATCAGGCCTATGCTCTCTGTGGGAAATTAGACGAACCATCAATCTCTCTCTTTCTCTCCATTTCTCTACCTTCCTTGGAGTCACTATCATTAGCTCCTCACCATCACACACTGCTGGGTGATGGCAGAGGAGGACTGCAGGGTTGGCCTCTCTGTGGGGTTGGCCTATCCATGGAGGCTGACCCAGTACACAAGAGCTAGGGAAGAGCCTGGGGAACCCCAGCTAAAGTCTTTAAGGTGACTTTGAGTCTATGACTGACTCGTTACTGGATTGTTTCGATTTTTCCCCAGTCCTAACGATCTGACCCCCTTCTCTTCTGCGCAAACAACTGCTCTTCGGCTTGGGCTTCCGGCCCTTCCTGACTGGGCCACAGGGTACTTTCCATGTCTGTGCTATGTCCCTGCACTGAAGCAAGAGCACATCTGCTCTCCTGTTTCATTTTTTTTTTTTAAGATTTATTTATTTGTGCATACAGAACTGGGGTACAGATCAGAGGCTCAGGGGTGGTGAGAGGCTTCACCAGAGACAGAGTGGGGAACAGAACAGGCAGATTGACGAAGTACA